GTTGGGTGTGGGGACCTGGAGGGAGCAGGGCCCATCATGGAAGGCAAGGATATTTTTCTATTGATTTTTCTATTGATTTTTAGAGAGAGGGAAAGACAGAGGAAAATATTGATGTGAGAGGAACACATCGATTGGCTGCCTCCTGCACATGCCCTGACCAGGGCCTGGGCCAGGGAGGAGCCTGCAACCCAGGTACGTGCCCTTGACCAGAATCAACCCCGGGACCCTTCAGTCCGCAGGCCGGCACTCTATCCACTGAGCCACACGGGCCAGGGCTATGTTAGGAGGTGGCATTCTCTTGGCGCTGCCTGTTCCAGCTCCTCGGGGCCTGTTTCTGAGCTCGCCACGGGGGCAGGTGAGGAAGCGCGGCCTTGGCCTTGCGAGCGCAGCCCGGGGCCGGGACGCCGTGTGTCCAGCGCGGCTCTGGGTTTTGACCTTGTGCTGTCCTGGGCCTGGTTGCTTCATGTTCCCGAGCTGTGCTTTCCTCCGTGGAGAGTGTAATTGCTGATTACACGATGGAATTATTATGTCAATTAATGGCATGCTAATAACCCGGCGGTCATAAGCACCGAGCGGCTTTGAACCCGGCATGACATCCACGCGGGGGTGACCCATTAGTGTCTCGGTTACGAGAAACACATGGCACTTCAGCGCCCAGAAGGTCCGGGGACCGGAAAAGCCGTGGGCGGCTGGAAGGAGATGAGTGGCGAGCGGGGTGACGTGCCATTTCAGGACGGGCCGATGTTTGCGAGCGGGGATCGTGCAGGGCTGCTGGGGAAGGGGGTGGGGGGAGCAGGAGCGAGTGTGTGTGAAAGCAGGCCCCGCGGGGACCCAGGGGCTGGCTCGGGCAGCCCTCTCCCCCGCCCCCTCCCTCTGCGCAGGTGTGGCACTGACCTGAGCAGCTGGCATGTTTGAGGAGCATGTGCAGAAGGCGGGCGCGGTCGGCCTGTAATGCAAACGCCAGGGGGAGGGTCGGCATATTGCAGCAGGCGCCGTGTGTTCTCCTGTGACGCTTTAATTTTTCTGGCAGAGCTGTGAACTCGCCCATGATTTCGCACAGCGTCTGATGAACGCCGAGGTGAACCCACGTGAACTTTTTGGAAAACATATTTTTATTGATTTCAGAGCGGGAGGGAGGGAGGGAGATGGAAACATCAGTGATGAGAGCGGGTCATTGGCTGGCGGCCTCCTGCACGCCCCCCGCTGGGGATTCAGCCCGTAACCCGGGCCTGTGCCCTGACCGGGAGTCGAACTCTGACCTCCTGGTTCATAGGTCGACGGTCAATCACTGAGCCACACCGGCCGGGCTGGCCTATTCTTAGGACAGAGGGTGGCTGGTGTGGTGCTGACCGAGGGGAGGGCGGATGGCGCCTCCGTGAGTCGGGTCAGGAGGTCAGCTGCTCTGATGGGGCCCCTACCTGCTGAGCGTGTTCATTCGACAGACGTTTAGATAATGTCCCACGTGGGGCATAAGAGATGAGTAAAGCACCACCTATTCCAAGGAGCTTGTAATCTAACAGGGAAATGACTGTAAACTCGGGCAGTGTGCCAGGCGCCATGGCAACCGGGGAGGCTGCGAGGCTGGGGCGGGGAATCCTGCAGGGAGGGTCCGCGGGACCGGATGTCTGAGCTGGGCCCGTGTCTCGGGCACCCCCCGCTCCCCCAAGGTGCCCGCCTCATCTGAGCGGGGCCCGCAGTGCACTCAAGATGAGGGTAAGGAAACCCAAGTGATGGTTGGGTGAGGCTCCCAGAGGGGTACACCTGTCAGGGGGGCTTCATGGGCACAGGGGAGACGAGAGGAGGACGTCCCGGGGCTCCGGGCCTGAGACCTGTGGCTGTGCTGGGAGGGGGCCGCCCGTTGGACGTTGGACGGGGGCAGGGCAGTTCCAGGGGAGACCTGGCGAAGCAGGTCTGGGCCCGATTCCACCCTGGAACCCGGCCGCGGGGTCTGCGGCAGCGGAGGGTCCGAAAGGTCTCCAGCCGAGCCGCCCCCCCCCACCCCCCGCCAAGGGCGTTTCGGGCCCAGTCCTACAGCGGCCAGGAGGAGACACCGCCGAGGGAAGGACAGGAGACGTGAAACAGCACGTGGAGGCTTGGCGGGCGGATCAGCGGGAATATAACAGCGCAGGGGAGGAGGCGAGGATGAGTTTTAAAGAAAAAATTAGCCCGGCCGGCGTGGCTCAGTGGTTGAGGGTCGACCTATGAACCAGGAGGTCACGGTTCGATCCCCAGTCAGGGCACTGGCCCCCAGGGTGGGGCGGGCAGGAGGCAGCCGGTCCATGATTCTCTCATCATTGATGTTTCTATCTCTCTCCCTCTCCCTTCCTCTCTGACATCAATAAACATATTTGGGGAAAAGGAAAAGAAGAAAGTTCACCCGGCTGGGGACTCTGACCCGAGCGGCCGCCCCCACGCCGGGTGAGTGAGGGGA